AAAGGACATGACTGTTCTAATCAAACACAACTTACATAAGGTGTTCGTGAATGGAGACTGGCTAGGCTGTGTGCAAGACTTTGGATCGTTCCTTGACCGATACCGCCACAAGCGACGTGTTGGAGAGATCAACATGTACACAACAGTATCGCATAACATCATCGCAAACGAGATCCATATGTGGGTCGACTCAGGTCGATTGATCAGACCGCTACTGGTTGTGAGCAACAACATGAAGGACAAGGACTATACGCACGAGAAGTTCCGTCAATGGATTAACTTTAAGAATGACCATGTTAAGCAACTTCGCGATGGAACTATTGATATCGACGATCTTGCGCATGAAGGCATCGTGGAGTATATATCGCCTGAAGAGCATGAAAACACTTACATTGCATTTGAGCATGATCGATTCAAGCAGCACTTAAAGGATCCACTTCATCGTTATACGCATGTTGATATCCCACAAGGCAACATGGGTTTAGTTGCACTGACTAGTGTATTTGCTAATCACAATCAAGCAGCTCGTCTCGTGTTCCAAACGAATCAAGTCAAGCAGACCAACAGCTGGGCGCTAAAGAACTGGGCATTCACTGCTCATAAGGACTTGTATCATCAGGTGTATAACGAAGATCCATTGGTTAGTACCTTTGCGTATCGCCACATCCCGCCGATGTGCACAAACGCTATTGTCGCAATCTCAATCTATGGAGGATTCAACCAAGAAGACTCATTGATCGTAAATAGATCATCGGTTGATCGCGGTCTCTTTGATGCGGCGCACTTGACTTATGATAAGTGCGACATTGAACAGAACGAAATCGTATGCAGGCCAGACCCTAGCAATACCTCAGATATCAAAAGCTATAGCAACTATGAAAAGCTTGTCAATGGTATCATCCCTGAAGGCGCATATGTGCAAGAAGGGGATTGTCTTGTTGGTAAAGTCGCAAAGATGCAAAAGGGCGATATGAAAGACCCTAACATCGTATATACTGATCGAAGCATGGTTTATCGTCACAAGGAGCCTGCTTACATCTGGAAGGTCATCCACACGCAAAACCATGATGATCGTGAAATGGTCAAGATTGTGTTCCAAACATTCCGAAGCGTCAAGCTTGGATGTAAGTTCAGCAATAGGAGCGGTCAAAAAGGTGCCACAGGCTTTCTCTATGACGATACAGATATGCCAACTACCGCAACAGGTATTAAGCCTGACCTGATCTTTAATCCTCTCTCATTGATTACTCGTATGACCACGGGCGTTATCTTTGAAGGAATGCTCGCCAAGATCGCAGCGCATACAGGAACATGCCCGGAAGCTACGATGTTTAAGAAGCTTGACACTGATAATATCGCGTCGACGCTAAAAGCATGCGGATTCAACCATAATGGTACTGAACGATTGTACAATGGTATGACGGGACAGTACATGGACGCAGAGATCTTCATAGCGCCTATCGCATATCAGAGACTTCAAAAAGATACCTGCGATACCGTGTATGCCAATTCTATCAGTCCCACTGATGCATTAACAAAACAGCCACTGCATGGCAAAAGGATTCTCGGCGCTCTGAAGGCAGGCAGCATGGAGACGGCATGCCTCAGTGTCGCTAGTATCAATTTCCTGCAAGAGAAGACTCATGAGCACAGCGACGGTATTAATGCATATGTTTGCGAAAAGTGCAATTCAAGAGCGGTTATTGCAAACGAGGAAAAGAACCTATGGAAGTGCAACAACTGCGGCGATCTTGCGTCTATTACAAAGTTCTCTACCTCGCACAGCAGTCAGTTGTTCTTAAATGAAATGGCTGGAATGAGTGTCGGAAGCAAGATCCATATGAAGAAAGCTACATTCGAAGTACCAGAGTAAGCGTATCGCATAGCGAATGCATATTTCTTTTTTTTAAAATTGACGACTGTGAAATTAAATATATCCAAGATATCCTACCACTCGAGCCCAACACTTAAAAAGCAACTATGGTCATCTACTGCCCTGACTGCGGAAAGCACGCATCCTACACCAATGCGGCTAAAACCGAAATCTTCTGCGCTGACCATAAGAAACCCGGAATGAAGCTTAATCGCGGAT